ATACAAAAAAAAAAAAAAAAAAAAGAAAAAAAAAGATAATACAAGTTAAAATTTAATCAGATAAAACAATAAAAATATACTTCTAAAAAACATATATATATATATTAATTACGTAAAAACAATAAAATAAAAACAAAACAATAACTGAGTATATTTATATGATACATTTAAAAATAAATGTTATTTTACATAAAAACATTATAATAATAATAAAATTTCTGTACTTTAAAAAAAAAAAAAAAAAAATTGTATTCATACAACGTTCAGTAAAATATACTCAAAAGAAAAGAAAAAAAATATATATATTTATATAAATATATATATTTATATAGAGATAAATGCTTGAGAAAACTTTTCTAAATTACTAATTAAAATTTTTTGTTTTTTTATTTTATTTTATTTTATTTATATTTTTTAATTTATTTTATTATCATTTTTTTTTTTTTTTTTTTTTATAACATCAGAAAGATGTAATAAAATTTTACATTTTTTATTTTTTTATCCTATTGAAATTTATTTTCTTTTACTGTACATTTTTAATATCATCTTTATTTTCTATATTTTCTTGATCATTTTTATCTTCTGTATTATCATGATAACTTATATTACTTACATTTAATTTATCTGTTAATGTGCAACTTTTCATATTAACAGAATTATTACTATTCATAAAATTTAGTATATTAGAAGTCATTTCTACATCTAATATATTAGAGTTTTTATTTGTTTCATCTGAAAGCATATCTACAGAAAACACTGAATTATTTGAAAATCCTTCTTGTTTTGCATTACTAATAACCAGGTCGTTTAATTTTTTAAAACTATTAGATGAATAATTAGAAATGTCATTTTTGTCTATATTAAAACTTTCCCATGTATTGTAAAAATTTTTATTCTTATAAAAGTGTTCTGTTAAAATATTATTGTAGTTTTGTAAATTGTCATCATTTTTTACCTTATTTACAATTTCTTTAAACATATTATCAACAATAACACAAAGATAAGAACTTAATGAGGTAGGTGTATTATAAAGTTTACAATTATTAACAATTAAGTTAACATCATCAAAAAATAAATTTAAATTATTATATTTTCTTTTTCTGCATCTAAAAATTATTTTATTTATATACATTGGTTTTTTAATAACACTATAATACATCGGTGCGTATGTTTCATTAACTTCATTTAAAAATGGTTTATAATGTGCTACTTCAGAAATTTCATTCATAATTATTAATAAATTTTCATTAAATTTTTCAATTATTTCTTTTATATTATTATATGTGTTTCCTTTTTTCATTTTTTTACGTTTCTTTTCTTCTACGTTTTTATTATATATATTTGAATTGGCGCTTCCTTCTGATAAACTGGTAGTTTTTCTTATACTTTTATCTGCTAAATTAATTACAATGTTATGTTCATGACTTTTTTTTTTATTTTTTTTTTCTTCTTTTTCTTCCTTACTTTTCTTTCTCTTCTTTTTCTTTTTTTTATCCTCTTCATTTTCTTTACCATCCGTGTTTATAGAACTAGTTTTTTTTATTTGATTCTTTTGAGATTTTTTTTCTTCATTACATTTTTCATCTCCTTTTTTTTCATTTTCATGTCCTTTTATAGAATTATTTTTGTTATAGTTTGCTTGATTTTTCGATTTGGCATTACTTATTTTATTTTTTTTTGTTGTTATTTTAATTGGTGCAGTAAGAGAAGAATCTTTCATGATATTATGTAAATTTTTGTTATGTTTCTTATTGTTCATTGAGTAATTCGTATTTACAAATTTTTTATTTAGTACATTTTTATTATCACCATATATTTCATTAATTTTTCTTTTTTTATCTTTGCTATCAGTATTTTCATCATGTTTATTTTTTTTTTTTTTCTCAATTTTCAAACTATTTTTTTCTGAAACACTCTTACTTACATTCCATGTTTTTATGTCTTCTCCTATAGTTGGAAATATATTAAGTATGTTTTTGAAACTTGCTGAGATACCTTTTTTATTTTTTTTATTTTTTTTTTTTTTAAATTGACTAAA